TGTTTCTGCCTTAGAGCCTCCTGACCATGGACTAACCCATTGAAACCGTGAACCAATGTAAGTCTCTCCTCCTTTAAACACTGGGTGTCAGGAATTTTGTCTCAGTAACAGCAAAGCTAACTAATACAACAATCTTCCTGGAGGTCTCATTGTTTGCCTCTTGTGTTGAGTCTTCTGTTTTCCCCATCTTCTATTATCTTTTTTGTTAGGTTGCTACTCCTTTCTAACAGAGTGCCTCCTCCAGGGTTTTCCTGAGAAAGAATGTTTGTGGATAGGTTAATTTGGTTTTGGTTGACAAGATTCCTTCAAAATTCTGAAAGCATTGTTTTAGCACCTCCTATCTTCTGTGCTATGAAGAAGTATGCCGCCATTCTATTTTCTCCTCTTTTGTAGAGTTCTATTCTTTTTTTTACTTACAGAAGCTTTGAGAATCATATCTTTGTGGTCACTGTTTTGGATTATGAAAATCATGAGCTTTGATTTTCATCCATTTTGCTGGTACTAGGTGTTTCTGTCTGAGAAAAAAAATTTAATTGTTTTGTTATTGATTTCCCATCATTTCCTTTTTCTACCTCTTCTACATATTGCGCTGTTGGACTCTTGGACTTAGAATGTCCTAGTCTCACTTTATGGATGCAACAGCTTTCCTTCTCTCCCTGAAGATACTGATGATTTTATAAAGTGTTCTCTTCATCTTCCATAGTTTCTGTTTCTGTGATTTGCTCTTTTCTGTGGCTTTGGTCTCTTATCTTTCTTTTCTGAGGCTCCCTTGGGGTACCATGTAATTCCTGGTTGTGTACTCATGGGTAAGAGTAGCGAGCTATTGGAAACTCTGAACTTCACCCCGGAGTTAGTTACCTGCCTGGCCTGTTGCTGGAGGAACCCCAGTGCCAAAATCTTGAGATCTTTCCTCCTGAGCCTACCCCCAAAAGTCCTCCAGTATTTTGCCTGGAGACGACTAGGTAGCAGTGACTGCCAACTTTCTCCCAGCCTAGTGAGGAAAGAGGGTGGGCATCTCAGCACCCAACAGCTGAGGTATCCGTACCATCATTTAACCCCCTATTTTCAGAACAGTGCCCGTGATTTCAACTGTGCCACATGTCCTCTATCAACTGTATCCCCTCCAGGAAACAAAATTCCAGCCCTCTGCCAGGTAGAGAAAGTGTGCCAAATTGGCATAGCGTAGGGGAAGGAATGTAGAGATTTGTCTCTTAGACACATTTTATACACTCCTTAGTTCCTAGCTCCATAGAGATCTTGACTTCTAGTATCTCAGCCTTTTAAGGATCCTTTGGGGGTAAATTGGTTATTTTGCTACTTTTTCTGTCTTAATTTAAATTTCAGCTTTCTGGGATATATTAAGCCATGCTTTCGTTCAGCAGCTTTCTAGTTACCAAAATGTGTCTGCTGTTCTCTCTTTGGGCTTCTGACTTACAGTTTTCAGCGTATTCTTCTCAAGATTGAAGGGCGAAATGCAGTAAGATGGGCTTGTCCGGTCATCACCTTCATTCAGGCCTGTGGAGCTCTTTCTTAAGTTGGTTTCTATGACCACATACAAGGTATGATCAGAAAATACAGTGAGTGTTTACATCTTAAAATTTCACTATAGTCAAAGGCAGATTGTCCCCCTTAATATAATATTCTCCCTTGCTTCAAACACACTTATCCCATCGTCCTTGTCACTTGCTGAAGTAGTTCTGCGAGTCCTCTTTCATGGGTGTCTTTAGTCTCACTGACTGTAGCTGCCTCAATGTCCTGGGGTGTATCAAAATGTCCTGGGGTCATTCTGACTCTGGGGCAGAGCCAGAAGTTGCACAGTGCCAGACCCCATGAATCCGGTGGATGAGGACACATCGTTATGTTTTCATCGGCAGATGTTGCTGAACGCAGTTGATCAACTTGGCATAATTAGATGACACAGTGAAGGTTTATTTTTTATTAATCATGTTTGCAGACACAATGTGTATGTTTCTTCTGTGGAGTTGGTACATGTACCTAACACATTTTAATCCCTTTTTTCATCTCCTTCCCCCCATTCCATCTCTTGATCCCCTTCCCCCATTTGACAAAGATCTATCTCCCTACTTGAATGTTTACATTTTAAAAATGTAATACAGTAAAAGACACATTGCCATTAATCTCCCCCGGAATACTTCCCTTGGCTTTGGACATACTTCTCCGATCATTCTTAACAGTGTGTCTTACTGTAATAAGTTTTTAAATTCAAACTAGCACCGTATTTTTCAGTCACCCCTGTACTCTTTGAGTATCACCTCCCTGCAGGATCCCTGTTCCTGGTCCGAACTTTGAGTGTCAAGCAGCCTCAGAACTTACCTCTGAGCTGCTCCTCGTTATCTGCGTTCACCACACACACAGCTTCATCGAGTTCTAGGCCCTCGGTACCATCAATGTGCTTATGCTGCTCAAGTTTATATTCCCAGCCTGGCTTTCCTTCCAAATTCAGAACTCCCTGCTTCCTTTGGATGTTCAATAAGCTGTTTCCTCTCTTTCTCACATCCAATGCCTTGGAAAATCAGGAAGGCTCCCGTTTTAAAATCTGGCCCAAATCTGGCCACTACTTTAGAAGTCTGGTTAACTGGAGAAGCTTTCTGGATCAAGCTATATAGGACAGCACCCTCCTGCCACAACACTTGCTCTTGTCTTTCTCTGACCTGGCCTCTCCTCTCCCCTCCCTTCCTTGCCCTCTTCCCTCCCCTCCCTCCCTCCCCTCTGATTCTAACCCAACACCACAGAATATGTTCTATCTCTCTATCTTTTTTTTTGCAGGGGGGGGGTTGTGCCAGGAATCGAACTCAGGACCTTGTACTTGCCAGACAGGTGCTTGTGCTGCTGAGCTGTACCCCCGGCCCTAGTTAAATATACTTCTTTTTTTTTTTTTTTGTACCAGGAATTGAACTCACAACATCACGCTTGCCAGGCAGGCGCTGTCCCACTGAGCTATATCCTGGCACTCTGCCTTTCAGTAGGCGTAAGTCCCTTTGCCCATGGTCAAAGCCTGATTCCTATTATCTGCTCTGAGTGTGGCAGCTGAAAGAGTTTAGAATCGATTCTCTGGCATTCTGGAGAAGAAACTGGGTAATAAAGAAGTCAAGTGAGTGGCCAGTCCAAGGTGGCACTGTGTGTGTACTGCAGTTTCTGCACTTGAACATCGGGTAGTAATGTCCTCAGCTTTAGCAGAGCATTGATCATATGCCACTAGAAGTGACTTCTTAATCTTTATTTTGGAACATATTTTTTAGAGACCAAAGTTGCCTGGCACTGATAACTTTATATTAAATACTTAATCTATTGAATAATCAAAGAATATTCTGTTTTTTTCTGGACAAAATGTGGAGTTGAGGGAGCCCAAAATGTACCTTTCATAGTTGTAATTTCCTAGGGTTTCTTTTTTTTTGTACTGGGAATCGAACTCAGGACCTTGTGCTTGCCAGGCAGGTGCTTGTGCTGCTGAGCTACATCGCCCGCCCAAGGACTTCTTTTTTGACAGATGAGTTTTTCTAGCACCTGTGCTTGTGTCACTAGAACAAGAGAACTTGGAGATTCCAAATTCAAGCCAGGATGCAGTCCTCACCCAGCTGTTCTTCCACGAGGCGGCCTCTCCATTTCCTGCATGTTGTCCCACTCTGTTCACGCATCCTCTGATCTTCTCAAAAGGATTTCCTGAACGTCTATCTGTGTCAGCAGTGGCCTTGTGCCCTCACCTGGGGTGGGGTGGGGGGCAAAAGTGACTTTTTGTGGTCACCTTTAACACAACAGCTCCAGAGCTTCCTCCTTGGCTTGCTTGTTAGTTTTGGCTGAGGACCACAATACATCGCTTCACGTTTGATTCTTTAGAATAGTAAGTCCAGCTGGTGGGTGGGGTCAGCCATCTCTGTTGCCTATTTCCCCCGTTTTCAAAAATGCTCCCAGATGAGGGTGTCTTTTTCTGACTCCCCCAAAGTACCCCCTGGGGCTTCTGCTTGCCCTGGTTCAGTCAGCTTCGTCAGGGGAGAAGGGCTGGACAGACGCTGCGGCTGAGGAAAGGGCAGAGGGCCGTGAAGGGGACGCAGCTGGCCACCAGCGAGGAGCCTCAGAGGCCAAGAGCCAAGATGCTTATCTGGCTTGTTCATTATTATTAACTTTTGTCACATTGTGCGGTGAAATCTTCATTTCCTAAAAAACAGAACCAAACCAAACCAAAAAGTGACTCCGGAATCTGGAGAGACGCCGTGCCCACCTGTGGAAGATGCGTCTTGCTTCAAAACCATCAGCTTGAAGCAACTTGAAAAAGTAAACAGCATCTTTTGTCTTTTTTAGCACAAGTTTGCAGCACATAAGAATCTCATTGCTTGTGGGGAGGTGGCACAAATACGCAACACGTCTTAATTCCCCTTTGTATCCCCTTTCTCTTCCCTCCACTTTGCATCTCTCTCCTGATCCTCTTCCTTTTTCTTGCTTTGTACACATTTGCAGTACCTAACATTAAACAGTATCTGCAGTACCTAACATTAAACAGTATCTTTTGTGCTGTATATTAACTGATTTAACACCAACAAAAGGGGGCTGGGGATTTAGCTCAGCGGCAAAAGCGCCAGCCTGGCAAGCTCAAGGTTGGGAGTTCAGTTCCCGGTACCGGAGAAAAACCAAAACCAAAAAAAAAAACACCAACAAAAAGTTCCTCATAGAAATAGTGCTCAAGTTTCCAGGCAGAATGCCAGTGCGATCAGATGTTTGGGGTATGTGGTCACACGTCTCTATTGAAATTCCTGTAGGTTTTCATGGTCCCTCCTGGAGAGATAGATGTTTGCCTTTTTGCAAAGCTGCTATCTTTAAAATTCAGTGGTGCACTGGTCACGTGTCCTGAACGACTGCTCTACAAGTGAGATGACTCTCTTACCTAGGACTTTTCACTCCCTAGGCCTATCTTGGTGTACGTCTCTTGAGCTGAATTCCATGGCTACACTAAAGAATGTGTTTGTGCTGCTTTTTGTTTTTATTAGGGTACCAGAACATCTCGTGAAGAGTATAACTTGGCAGACACTGCAAGCTGTAAATTTTTGCCATAAACACAATGTAAGTCTCATGCTCTCCCTTGAAAAATCAGGCGGCTGCCCTTAAGCTCAGATGGAGCCTTGTATGACATTTATATCAGGCTTCTGTAGGGTAATTTTTTACCCCAATTTTCAGTGTGCCTAGCTGGGATAAGAGGCTCAAAATGCCCACCTAGCTACTCCTTTTTGCCCAGATTTTATAAAACATGCATTAAGAGGTATTTTAAGGAAGTCGTTGTTGTGTATTTCGAAACTTCTGAAGTGTAAGGGAGCAAGAATCCCATTCATTGGAGTCTGTATGGGCTGGTACCTCCCACGGCCTCTGAAGTTGGGCGGCGAGCCCCAGATGCCTCGTGCTGTCTAGTTGCAATATGCCAGCTGCAGTGGGTGGAGCCCCAAGCCCAAAGCAAGAGGGCTGCTCTGGTGAGATAGAAGTGCTGGGCCTGCCCAGCAGCGGCCCAGTGGACGCCTCTGGTGTTCCTGGTGCAGATGGGCGGGTGGGAGCACAGTGGACACTTGGAGCTGGGTCTTCACAACCAGGTGCTGGGACTTCACAGATGCTGGGCAGCCCGCCCACTCCCTGCTCCTAGAAACCAGATTCAAGAGCTGGGGCAAAAGTCCATGGCAGAGCTCTTGCCTAGCACGTGCAAGGCGCTGGGTTCGAGCCCCAGCACTGCAGAACCCAAACCACAACAGTTTCCAAGTCCCCAGCACCAAAAACAAACCAAAGAGACCCAGACTCCGATGCTGGAGCTTCATTTGGCCACGACTGCAGTTTGACATTGATCTGTCACCCCACCAACTGCCGGGCTCAGTGGAGCTGGTGGGGCTGAATGAATCCCCTACTTTGTGCTCTATTTTAAATATTTTTTTTTTCTGAAGCTGTGTTCCCAGAAGGAGAAAACATGAGTATCCAGCCCCTCTCCCTACTGACCCTCCATTAACTGAAGGCTGTAATCTTTGGCGGGACTGGGAGTGTAGCTTGTGGTAGAGCCTTTGCCTTGCATGCCTGAGGCCCTGGGTTCAATCCCCACCACTTTACAAAAACGAACAAAGCAACCCTCCCCCAAAAAGTGCACCATCACCATACAGCAGTACAGCAGGGAGGGTGGTTGCTTTGTATCTCTAGTGCTGAGAGTGATGGTGAGCACTTTCCTGAGAGTGAGTTTTAGTGGAAGAGGGAGACACATGAAGGCCCAGCAGCACACTGCAAGCTGTGGATTTTTGCCATAAACACAATGGTGGGGAAGAGGCACTGAGGACAAATATAACCCCGACCATGGTTCCCTGGAGAGCGCCAGATGCTCTCTTGGCTCTGTGCGCTGACCGGGGAGGGTGCAGACACTTGCGAGGAGTTCCCAGGGCAGAATGGGAACACGTTCTTGCTCACAGCACTTCTGATCGTGTGTCATCAGGATGTTCATAGATGTACCCACTTACAGCAATTTTTGCAACCAGTAGTGAAAGAGTAGAGATCTTAGAGCCATTAATTGCTGAGAACTAGATAGATTGTAATAAAATAATTTAACCCCGCCCCCATTTTTCAGAATAATAAAAAACTGTGGGAAAACACTAACGCTAATCTCTCACCCTAAATGTCCTTTGGAATGAGAACTGGCCAGACCCAAAAGGAACCTTTGTCCTCTCTGGTTTCTAAAACACCGGGAATAGCCCTAGGGTTTCCAGCCGCAAGCCGAGGGAGTCTCTCTGGTCGCAGAAAGATTCCCCTCTGGAGAGGAAAACGCTTGGGAGAAGGGAAAACTATTAGCAACCCTGAGCAATGCTGTGACCCAACGGGGGTTTTAAATGTAATTATTATTAGGCTGTTGGTTTGGATTTCCTTGCAAAGGAAATTGTCGTTTAATAAGAAAGTCACGTGAAGATCCTCCAGCATTCTTCTAACCTCACTCTGCTGAGGAATGCAGGCTGCGGTCTGCAAACCAGGTGATTTGAGTCCAAATCACGGAGTGGGAGCCATAGTTGCGGGGTGGGAGCAGCTCTAAGAGCACTGGATGGACGATGGAGGCGCCGTGGGACGGAGCTGACATCTAGCGACTCCCCAGAGGACGAGAGCTGCTGCCTAGTTTTGTTTATCTTGTCAGGACAAATGTCAGAGCTGGGAGGGAGAAGGCTTGGCAAGCTGCTCGTCCCCTCCCTTCTTGTCCCCAGCTTATCTCAGCAGGCCCAGGGCTTGTCCTGTTTACCAGGCCGGCCCTGTTCTCGGTTCGGTAACTCAGCAGAGAATTCTGCTTACGCACCAGCTAGCAGCTCCTGCAGCCACGATGCAGGCCTGGCTCAAAGTCTTTTAGCATTTTCCCTTTCACCCGGAGTTGTCATATTAAATATAGAACTCTCAGTTAAATGTGCAGTTCAGATAAACAAGCTAAAATAACTTTTGATAATTAAAATAACTTTTTAATGTAAGTATGTTCTAAGTACTGCATGGGACAAACTTATGCTTTTAACATCACTTGTTGGGTATAGAGATGTAGCTCAGTGCTAGAATACTTGCCTAGCACGCACAAGACCCTGGGTTCATCCCCAGTGCTTAAAAAAAAAGTTGTTGGGGCTGGGGATTTAGCTCAGCGGCACAGCACCTGCCTGGCAAGCGCAAGGTCGTGAGTTCGGTTCCTGGTACCAGAAAAAAAAAAAAAAAGTTGTTTATCTAAAATTCAAATTTAACTGGGAGTCCTACATTTGTATATGCTCAGTGTACCTACCCTACTTTTATTTTTATTTCACCCTTCTTAATCCTTTTGCTCCCTTTAGGATTTGGGATGACTCAGGCTATAGGTCCGGTACTAGATTTATTTTAGGCTGCTGTTTTGCTCTCCAACAGGCCAATTAGAGATTCAAATGATTTATCCAATATTTGCTAGATATTCATGTGTTTTATTTATGCCATGTATCATACATAGGTCTCCTTTGTAACCTGCTTTTGTTTTGAATTTTGCAACTAGTGCATACATAGAGATGTGAAGCCTGAAAATATCCTCATCACAAAACATTCAGTAATTAAACTTTGTGACTTTGGATTTGCTCGGCTGTTGAGTGAGTATGAAATTTTCTTTAAGTGTAAAAAATGGACATGTCCTTGATCTGATAAAGGCTCTAGATGCTATCAAAGGCTGGTTCTCGTAATTTAGGGTATAATCTTCCTATAAATTATAATTCTGTAATTACAGAATTTTGTACTGTAATTATAATTAGAAAATGTGTAGACATATACAGTGGTTTAGAAATAGATGCTGTATGTAAATTATACCACAGTAAAGTGGTTATTAAAAAGTATGTTACAATCCTGGCTTCTACCAGTTTCTGCTAAGGTAATACTTTTCAGAAGTGCTACGTTAGAAACTAGTTTTCAGTCTTGGCTGCAAATTAGAATTATCCGGGGAACTTTTAAAAGTACAGAGGTACTCTGAAGCCCTTCCAAAGATTCTGATTTAATTGAACTGGGGTGTGGCCCAAGCAACGGCCATTTAAAAATGCTAAATTCCAAGTGATTTTAGGGTGCAACCAAAATGGAGAACCGTGGTTTTGAAAAGCCATAAGTTGGGACAGAGCTTGTCTTCTTAGGTCTTTCATTTCCAGTTTTGATTCCAGGCTTGCACCGCTCTCTCTGTTTTCCATGTTGCACCACTGACCAGCTGGACCGAGTGACTACTACACAGACTATGTGGCTACCAGGTGGTACCGCTCCCCGGAACTGCTGGTGGGGGACACACAGTATGGCCCCCCAGTAGATGTTTGGGCAATTGGCTGTGTCTTTGCTGAGCTGCTGGCAGGAGCGCCTCTGTGGCCAGGAAAATCAGATGTGGACCAGCTTTACCTGATTAGGAAAACCTTGGGTAAGTAATGTCTCCAGCCCACTTTTCAGGAACCTGGCTGGTTTTACCCATGTCGGTGCAGGGCAGCGCCGAGTTTAGCTCATCTGATGCCTATTGTAATTAGGAAAGGGCAACTTGAAAACCTCATAGAAATGGCTGTTAAAGGTGCACGTTTGTGTTTTAACAAAAATAATTAACAATCACAGAGTATTTACTAGTTGTCCGAAAGATGTAATTTATGATTCTCTCAGTGTAGTTTGGATCAAGTTGCCCCCTGAAAAATAATCATGGCAACCACAAAAGTCACATTTCTGCAAGGGCTTAGCAGGTGACAGAAACTGTCACGGTTTATTTCATTTACAGGTTGAGTATCTCTTACCCAACATGCTTAGAATCAGAAGTATTTTGCAGTGTAGAATTTATGGATTTTGGAATATTTGCATATTCATAATGAGGTCCCCAAGTGCAGACACAAAATTCATTTATGTTTCATACATACTTTATACACATATCCTGAAGGCAGTTTTATACAGTATTTGTAGTATTCCTGCATTTTGACTGCAACATGCCATATGAGGTCGGGTGTGGAACTGTCTCCTTGTGGTGTCGTATTGGTGGTCAAAGTTTCAGATCTGGAACATTTTGGATTTCAGATTCCCAGATCGGAAATGCTCCCCTTTACTATGATGTGATAATTCATCTGGATGTCCTTAACTTTAGTTTGGATCATCCAGACTCTGGAGGAAGATTCTCAGCCTTCCAAGAGTCAGGGAGAGAGTGTAGTTCGTCTGATGTCTCTCTTCCTCCTGCTTTCCCACCCCGGAGCCTGTCCTTTCTCCTACCCTGCAGGGGAATGGTAAGGGCAGAGGAGGAGAAGGGGTGGAGGGGAAAGGACAGATGAAAATATGCATGAGCAGAGATTGCCCCTTTCCAAAGCCAAGGATACTACATCCCTAAATATCCTAAGGCAAAGCAGATTTTCCCTCCTCCGTAAACTCTCGTAGCACCTGCAGCACCATGTCTATCCTGCTACTTTTAGGGTAGCGGATGCTGCCTAAGGGTGAGATTGTGTCTTACATTTCTGCTTAGCCTCTGCAGCGTCTGCACAGGCCGGCACTTTGTACCCTTTTAGGAGCACCCAGCCTCCCTTAGCTGTTTCCTCCAGTGACAGTAGGACAGCTTTGGCATCACCCATGAGCTCTGATGGAAGAAGGTTATCAAGGCACAAGGAACTGTGTTCACAATCCAGCTCACTGAGGTCTTGGGAAAGGCATTAGCGGTGATAGCTTGACTGCTCATCCAAAGTGGGTTGCTTTTTTTTTTTTTTTAAGTGAGAGGTAAAGTTTTAAAATCAGTAGAATTAGGCTTCAATTGGCTGGTGTGGGGGCCTCCAGCACAGTTCTTGGCAGTGTATACAGACCCCTGATAGGGGCTTTTGCTTTCTCTTGCCCTGGATGGAGGGCCTAGGCATCTCCTTACATTCTCAGAACCAAGTACCGCTTCAAGTGTACTATCCCTAGAATTCTATGCCAGGGTGATTAGCTCATTTGGCTGCAGTGTGTGCTTCCCACCATCCCCTGGAATATTGGCTCCTTTGGTTTCTGTGTTCCACGCTGTAAGGGCTTTGAAACATGAAATGGTGATTTTTGGTGGCTAATTGGTGAAATAAGAAAAGGTGGTTCCAGTTTGGGAGTGTGTTTCTTTTAGCTAGAAAATCTTCCATAATTTGTTTCTTTCTGAATTCCTTCCTTCTCTTCCTTCCCTTCCTCTTTTATGGTTTTTCTCCGGTACCAGGAACTGAACTCATGACCTTGCGCTTGCCAGGCAAGCGCTTTTGCCGCTGAGCTAAATCCCCAGCCCCTCCCTTCCTCTTTTAAATACGCATGTCAAGGGGCTGGGGATTTAGCTCAGCGGCACAGAGCCTGCCTGGCAAGCACGAGGTCATGAGTTCGAGTCTCAGTACCAGAAAAAAACAAAAACAAACAAACAAACAAAAAATATATATATGTATATATATGTTGGGCCCTCTTTCAATATGAGGCCACTACATTTTTATCTCCACTCCTTGGGATCCAGTTAATACAATTTTGATTTGCAGTTGTTGTACTTTTTTTTTAAACTTTTGTTTTTTTTTAAAGGAATTATTTTATGTGTGTGTGTGTGAGTGAGAGAGAGAGAGAGAGGGAGAGTTATTTGATTTGGATTTCTCAAATACACTAAATATCTATTTTTTTTTTGTACTGGGAATCGAACTCAGGACCTCACGCTTGCCAGGCAGGTGCTTGTGCCACTGAGCTATATCCCCAGCCTCCTCAAATATACTGTAAGCCCTGGAAAGCAAGAAATTTGCAGCCTTCCATTTCTGGAGCTTAACGACCTCTGCGCCTACGAGCGCACTGTCCATGGCAGAGCTCAGTATGGGCTATGCTGGTGGACCATGTCTGGTCCCGAAAGAAAACTGCACTGTGGTAGGGGTTGGCAGAGACAGACACAGCTTTTGTGGAGGGAAATCACAGATCAGCGTTTGCTGACCGCACTTTCCTCCCTCTTTCTTTTTGTTCAAAGGGGATCTCATTCCTAGACACCAGCAAGTGTTTAGCATGAATCAGTACTTCAGCGGAGTGAACATCCCAGACCCTGAGGACATGGTGAGTGAGCAAGCCATTTTGGAGAAAGTTCCTGGAACAGGCCGGCTGGGTTGTGGTAGTTCCTTGCTTAGGCTCAATCTGCCCTGGAAGTTTCATCGAAGAGTGAAAAAGAAAATTGGAGCACATTTGCAGCAAGACCTTGGCCTTTGGTGCTAACTTTGAGGCTGCCGCTAAGAGTGTGGCCTGTTAGGCAGGAAAGGAGAGCTGCCCGCCCTGGCTGCACCTGGCCTTATCACGTGCATCAGCTGAGCCCAGCTACCCTGAGCCAGTCAACTTTTACACAAATCCAGATATTGACCCACCCAGGAAATTCTTCCCTGGTCTGTCCAAATTCTCTCGTCTTGTGTGCACTCCGTCCCCAGCCGTGAGGAAACCGTAGTGAATTTATTTGGCCAGCCTTACTCTGATGCCTATTTTGTGGCCAGTGTGGGGGTAAAATTCATTTAAAAAGGACTGAAAAATGTAAGGTGTTCATACTCTTAACCCACTTCCAGCAGTTTATCCCAAGAAAACCACTAGACAAGAATATAAAGATGTAGCATTTAACAGAGAGCATTTCCTTTAGGTTCCAGTAATAAGGGGTTAAGTTATGGTACATCTGTAATTAAAAAATTCCGTAGCCAGTAAAGATAATTAGATCTATATGTGTTCACCTGAAAAAAGAGTCTACAACATACTGTCAAATGAAAAAAAAGTTATAAAACAGTATGTATAATTTAACATAACTGAAACAGATATTTAATACAAATATTTACATATATAAAAATATTACCAAAATTTACATATATAAACACAAAATAATATGGCAACTTCTGGAAAGTCATGCAAAGCTTTTTACACTTACTAAATAAATGGCTGCAAGGATATATACCAAAATATGAACAGGGACATCTTTTTTTTTTT